TGGGGAGGGGGCGGCCGGGGGCGATCTCGCCTGGGGGCGGGGCTTTGTAAGGGGGGACGATGGCCCCGGGGCTCCTGGGGCGGGGCTAAAGTTCTTTGGGGCGGGGCTTAACGCTCGTGGGGGCGTGGTTTCACTGTAGGGGCGTGACCAGAGAGGCACGTGTGGGACATTACAGGGTGAGGCTCTGTGGGGGCGTGGCTTGATGTCAGTGGGCGTGGCCTAGGCGAAGACCACCAGGGCTGGGACTTACTGGGTGGGGCTGGAGCTGTGTCCACAAGGTGTGGTTAGGGATGGGGCGTGGCCTGTGGAGCCACGCCCCTGGTGACCCCACCCCACCTCCCCCACAGGTGCCCAGGACCCCTGAGCCCGCCCTTGGTGAGGGCAGGGTGGGGCAGGGCGGGGCTGTTCAGGTGCGCAGGCACCGCCCCGGCGCCCCCTGCTGGTCACAGGTGAGGCAGAGATGGAGCCGGGGAGGACAGTGGACACGGCGTCCCCGAGCTGTCACCACAGTGGGGATGATGAGGAGGAAGATGTGACAGCAGCGGCAGCCATGACATCATCCGTGTGTCACCCTGCTGGGAATGAGGAGGAGGACAAGGAGGTGGCAGCAGTGGTGACAGCCACAGTGTCCCTGGAGTGCCACCCCAGTGGTGAGGAGGAGGAGGAGGTGGCAGTGGCCATCACATCCCAAGGTGGGCCGTGTGGCAGGGATGAGGATGTGGTGACAGCAGTGACAGCAGAAGCATCCACAACGTCCCAGGGCTGTCATCCCGGTGAGGAGGAGGAGGTGACCACAGTAGGGACATCCCTGGGGTGTCCCCCACTTGGGGATGACGAGGAGGTGACAACAGCGGGGACAGCAGCAGGGACATCCCAGGGCATTCAACCCAGTGAGGAGGAGATGACCATGTCAGCAACGTCCCCAGCACGTCCTCCTGTAGGGGATGAAGAGGAGATGACAGCAGCGGTGACATCCCCAGGGTGTCACCCTAGTGAGGAGGAGGTGACAGCAGCGGTGACATCCCCAGTGCGTCACCATGAGGAAGAGGAGGAGCTGACGCCAGCAGTGACATCCCCAGTGTGTCACCCTGGTGAGGAAGAGGAGGAGGTGACAGCAGCGGTGACAGCAGCGGCAGCCACATCAGCCCCGGGCGGGCGGCGCGGCGCGGACGAGGACGTGGCGGCCGCGGGCTGGCGAGCGCGGCGCAAACACGTGTTCGTGCTCAGCGAGGCGGGGAAGCCGATCTACTCCCGGCACGGCAACGAGGAGGCACTGGCGGCCACCATGGGTGTCATGATGGCCCTCGTGTCCTTCATCCAGAGCGGCGGCAATGCCATCCGGGCCATCTGCTCCGGTACGGGGCCAGCGGGGGGTGGACACAGAACCCCCAAATTTATATCGACGCACCTGTGGGTAACCCCAAACCTGCACAGCTCTGCCCCCAGAAACAGCCCCCACAGGTACAACCATCTCTGCTCCAAACAGCCCCCTCCAAACACAGCATCCCACCCCCAAAACCTCTCCCAGGTACAGCTGAATCTACCATGCCCAGGTACAAGCAGCCCCCCAAAACTTTCTTCCCACCCCAAACCCCTTCCTGGGTCCTGCCTCCCTCCTAAAAACCCTACCTTGATACAGCCACTCTCCAAAAACAGCACACCCCAAAATGACACCTGTCCAGGTACATCTGGCTACCCCCAAACCCTCCGTGTCCCCCCGCCCCGTGTGACCGCCGTGTCCCCTCTCTCCCCCGCAGAGGACCGCACGCTGGTGTTCGAGCAGCGGGGCCCGCTGCTGCTGGTGTCGGTGTCCCGCACGCGGCAGTCGGCGGCACAGCTGCGGCGGGAGCTGGCCTTCGTGCACGAGCAGATCCTGTCGCTGCTGACCCGCGGCGGCATCGCCCGCGTCTTCGCTCGACGCCGCGGCTTCGACCTGCGCCGGCTGCTGGCGGGCGCCGAGGCCGTGCTGGACCGGCTGCTCTG